AAATAAGCTTGTCAAGAGTAAAAAAAAAAAAAAAAAATAAGTGCTTTCGAATTTACACTTCATAGCTAAAGAGGCCAGAAGGGAAAGTCATCTTTTTTAAGTGGAAAGTACTAGAGGAATATCAAGTAGCCTTTTTCTCTATGGCCCCTGGTAGCTGCCAGGTGGCGGGCCAGGCAGAGCATCTTACAACAGATGGTGGACGTGGCTGCTGGGGTGGCATCAACCCTGAGGAGGGGCTTGGGGAGACACAGGCCTCCTGGCCCCATGAGGCAGCCCCTGCCCCTCGGCAGGTTTCAGTGGGCCCTCCTGGGAACCGTACAGCTCCTGGCAAGGTCCACCTGGAAATACACTCAATCCTTATTCTCAGCACCAGACCTGAAGATCGGCCCTGCGGGCTATCGCACCTCGCTCTGTGAACCAGTTGATCCCAGCAGGTCCGCGTCTGGCCCTCTCAGGCCTTTCCAGGACCCCCCAGCCCACCCCATCCATGGTGCTCCTGTGGCAGCGCACTGAGCTAAATGGGGCTTCTCGAGCTAGACATCCCAAGGAGATTGGTATTTAAAATAGAGGCACCAGGGAGGGAATTCTGGGAAGCCAAAAGAAATGAACCCACCAGGACAGATGTTCTCATGACATTGCCAAAAGGACCCCCTAACCCCTGATGACCCGCAGCCCCCCTCTGCCCAGGTGCTGGAGCTTTGCTCATGGAACAGCCACGCCTCCCACCTCCCCAGCTCCTGCTACAAAAGTTGTCAGCTGTCAAGAGCTACCGGCTTCCATCCCTTCTACAGGCTACAGGAGAAATGGGGACACTTAGTCAATGACCAAGTTTTTCAAAAACAAAACCAACAATGCACCCGAAGATAACACCCATGTTTTTAGCAGCATTTTCTAAGTAAGCTATGCCAAAGCCGCAAGGCACACAGCTGGGGGACGGGCGTGGGAGGGAGGCGACAGCCCCTAAACCCCACCCTGTCTCAGTGGGCGATGCCGAGGGCCCAGGGCTCCCAGGGCCCCCAGGCTCCAGGAGGCCTCCAGTCTCTACTCTGCCAATGATTGAGTTCTTCTGAGTCACTTCATCTCTCTGGTTTCATACACACGCACCCCCCCGCAACACATGCACACACACACACACACACATATACATTTCCCCCTACGGTTCTCATGTGCTGTGGTGGACACAACTGAATAGAGATGGGGAGTCTTTCTGCAAACGAAGCCATGCTTCTTCATCCAAGTGGGGCCCGTAGTGGGCATGGCAGCCACCACCACTCCACGAGGCTCGTGTGACAGCTGGATGTTGGACCCTAACAAAGGCCTAGGTTGCTCCCAGCCAAAGCATTCCAGAGAACAGCAGGCGTGTGGCCCCCTTGTGGACAGGGGTGTGGACAGCTCAGAGGAGCCCTGGTGGGGACCCTGCTCCTCCCTCCCACATGCGGGGGGTGGGGGCATGCTAGATGGACTGTCTTCCCCGCACCCCCGTGTGCTTCCCGGCCAGCCCCAGACTGCTGCTCCTGCACATCCCAGCCTGGGCTTCCTCCAGCTCCTCCTGCTTTGGGCGGCATCCCAGGGTTTTCCGCTCAGCTGGGTCACCGCTTCCCTCCTGACTCACTCCTCCCATCTCCGCTAACAGGGACCACTACACACCCCCTTCCAAAGCACGGTGTTCTGGCTTCAAACTGCAGTTTAGCACACACCTTTGTTTTCCCACCAGGTCGTGGGCTCCAGAGGGCAGGGGCTGTGTTTCCGGCATCTCTGGATCCCAAGGGCCCAGCATCGAACGGGCCCTCAGCCGACCTCTGGCGAATGAATGAACACATCCATAGGCCGCAGCCGCCAGCCATCAGCCAGCATGCTGATGCAGCGTAAGGAACGAGGGGTTGCGGGCAAAGCCACAGCCCTGGCAGCGAGGGCTGGGAGACCCGGCCGACGCACGGTTGGAGACGCGGGGCTATGGGTACAAGGTCTCATCTACTCCAAAGTTCTCTCTCCTTGACTTTAAGACCCAAGATGTGACCTAGGATCAATTCAGCCGAGTCCTTAAATTTGCAGCTGGCCTCCTAACACAAGTGGAGACTTCCTTTTAATGGGAGGGAGCTCTGTTTGGAGAAAACCCTGTGCTTCTCTTTCCATACTAAACTTGCACCCACATAAACTCAGTTCCGCAGCTTCTCATGCCACACTTCAAGTACTCAGTAGACACATGTGGCTGATGGCTGTGGTTTTGGACGGCACATTTATAGAACATTTTCCTCACCCCCAGAAAGTTCTCCTGGACAGGGCCTGTCTAGGGCTCTGCCCCCTTCCGGTCTGAGTAACGTAAGAGGCACTACTCTCTTTTTAACCCAAGGGACAACCTACAGGATGCCGTTCATTTTCCTCTCTTCTCTGCCATGATCCAGTGAGAGCAGTGACATATGAGAACATACTGTTTCCGGCCCCAACACTTCTCTTGCAAAAGGTCAAGAATATATATATATTTTTTTAGCCAAATGACTTAAAGAATAAAAGAAAATGTTCTCAGAAGCATCCTCCACTCCCCCAGATGCTGTCTGCCAAGTCTCCGCTGGTCCCACTCTCCCCCCCCAACCCCATCCGTGCACCTGCCCATGGGCCTCCCAGCCTCTTCCTCCAGCAGCTCCCCAGGGCTGGGGCTGAAAAGCAGGAAGCCCCATCCTCCTGTGGCGGCTGCCAGCTTGCTGGCCGACACGAGGCTTAGGTTGCTTGCCAAAGAACCACTGTTTCCCCAGTTCCTGGGTCATTTTTCTTAGCTCCCAGCCTGCTTCTAACAAAGGAACACATGGGTGATGCCAGCAGTTCTGGGAGCCCCAACTCCGCCAAGCTCATCTGGCCCGTGGATCCCACCACCCGCACTTACCCGGAGGTGGACAGGACAGAAGGCCTTTATGATCTTGATCTACTTATGTTCGTTTCCTGTTCACCTGTGAAACCCTTTTCTTTCCGCATGTTCTAGAGTATTCAGGATTGTAAACCCCTGAGACAGATCTGACCTTCCTCTCTGATTTTACAACATGCCTCTTCCCAACCATTCCCTGGCCTAGTTTTACTATTTTACAACAAAGGGGGATGAAAATTAAAGTCAACAATGCCAGGCCACCCTTGGAAAAGCCGTTGGTTGTGGCAATGGAAGGAGCTTGGCTAACAGGAGGCCTGGGCCTGCCCTGGGTTTGTGACATGACCTGGTGGGCCGCAGCATCCCCTCTTCCCTGGAGTACTCCCCGGCCACGGTCACTGACCTCACAGTGAGGCTAAATGACATAGTGAACAACAAGCTTTGTCAGGGAGCTGGAGCTGGGACAATTTATTCAAGAGCTGATTTATTTTTTCAACAATTTATTCAACACCTTCCCATGAAGGTGCGTCAACTTAAGGTCAGGGACCGTGGGTGCTATTGGCTGAATTGTGTCCCCCGCCCCAAATTCATATACTGAAGCCCTGACTCTCTCCCAACAATGTAATGGCATTCAGACCTGGGTCCTTTGGGGGGCAATGAAGTTTCTGTGAGGTTCTAACTGGGATCTTCCTTGATGACATTAGTGCCCTTATAAGAAAGGGAAGAGATACAAGAGGGCATGTTTCTCCGTCCCTCTGCCATGTGAGGACACAGGGAGAAGGCAGTCATGGACAAGCCAGGAAACAGGCCCTCACCAGGACCGGATCTGCCAGCACCTTGATCTTGGACTCCCCGCCTCCAGACTGTGAGAAATAAGTATCTGTTGCTTAAGTCCCGTTTGATGCGGTGGCCCAAGTACCTGGCACATAGTAGGCTTGTTAGTGAACCAAAGTGTTACCATGCCCTGACCTGGCCAAGGGGACACACGTCTCAGTAATTCTTCGCTCTGAAGGATGTGGCCCCATCCCCCCTGTGACCCAAAGCACCCATCTGTGACATCAATCACTATGAGTGAACAAACCTTCTCATATTGGCATGGGGAAGCATGCTGCGTTTAGGCCTCATTAACCCCAAGTCCTGCCAACACAGCTGTTGGACTGCTTTGGTCATTAGACAGAGGCCATCTGTGGATGAGGACACCTTCAATGGTATAGAAAGTCCCACCTGAGATCCTCAGCGGCTGTCTGCGCTGCCCCTCAGGCACCTGAATCCCCGGGGCTCTGGGGTCTGGCAGGGTCTATCCCTGCGGACAGCAGCTTTCCGATGCAGGAGTGGTACTCTGGGATGCCTTCCTGGAGGAGGCGGGCTTGCTTGACTGGGTCTCAGGATTTGCTAAGCGGCAACGTGGAAGATGCAAACGGCCCATGTGTAAAGCAGGTTGTGCTGAGATCTGGGGCACTGGGCCTCCCTGCACAGGGCAGCCTGGGGAAGGAGCTGCAGGAGGGGGCAGGCATTCCGGGAAGGTAGGAGAGCACCTAGGGCCTAGAAAAAACCTCGCTGGACTGCGAGCCCAGAATCTGAGAAACTGGTGACCGACCAACCAGAAGCCCGATGAAATCTGGCAGCTCCTGGAGGAGGCAGCACTTCCGTGAGTTCAGAGAAGCCGCTGGGCCCCTGGGAGGGGCAGGCAGATGCGGTTCCTCCTCCTAGAGAACGTTACGGTCCCCGATTTTTCCTCGCACCTCCCGGCCATCCAAACCCTAATACTCCCACCACCCAGCTCTCTGGCAATTCCCTTCCTTCCTATGGGAGGACACGAGCCAAGGACACAGGCCCACACAGGAGCCATGGGTCCTCCTGTCAGCACCAGGGCCCCAGCACCTTGCTTTGGAAGGGGCCTCTGAGGCGGGGGTGGGGGGGTGGGGGTGAGTAGAGGTTGAGGAGGGATGTGGGAAGATACCAGACTGGTTTGGAGAGGGCAAGAGAACACTGCCGTCCACTCCCAGCAAGAACCAGGCGTGAGGAGCTGCTCGGCTCGTGCCTAAAGTCCTGGTGCCTCGCTGTCCTGGTCCTGAGGATACCGCAGCACGTGCACAGACTTGGGGTTCCAAAAGGGAGGCTTACAAAGGACAAGGAGACCACGTGAGACAGTCAATCCTTCATTTTTCTCTTCTGCAACAATGGCATTGATAAAGACCCAAGTCAGCGACAGCCGTGGGGAGCGCCCCTGGGCTGCTAGGTCGGAGCAGCACACGTGGCTTTTTCCTGCTGCAGGGCCCTCCCCAAGTTACCAAGCCTCAGCTGCCGCGGCCCCTCTTACAACTCCGCAGAACCACCACACGCGTACAGGCCCAAGGGCCCGCCCACTATGACAGCACCCTGGGCTTTGGGGCACTCATGGCGAAGGACCACCAGGGAACCATTCACTCTCTCCAAAAATACACAGTGAATGGCCATGAAGTGCCGGGCATTGTCCTTGGCACTGGGACTATGCTTGGCCCGCTTCAGCCACCACCACTGGCTTCCATCCTTGCTACCAGTCTGTTAAAACTCCCCCTGGAGCCTGGCCTCTGGCGGTGGACAGCCTGCATGAGACAGTCTGGGGAGCCTCTCCCAGAGCCCTCACAGCCCCCTCACCCTCACAGGGGTCTGAGGACTGGGTTCCACGTCTGAGGGACCGAGGGCCACATCCAGGCTCCAGAGTGAGATCTGTATCATCCTACCTCCTCCATCAGCCCCGCCTGGGGCTGTGCCCTTGGGGATGCTTCTGGAATTCTGTCCTCTAGCCTTCAGCGCCTTGAGGAAATCACCCTTTCACCGGGTTCTACCCCCGAGGGTTGTAAAAACGGCCATTCGTGGCCCCCGCAGCTCTTCAAACATGCCCTCCCACCCCCACCGCGCATCCGCTGCGTCCTGCGCACTAATGCGCCTGATCCTTGGCGCCGGGGGTGGGCGCCAGGGGGCCCCGGTGCACGCGCTGGTGCTTGAGCAGGTGCTGCTTCTGGCTGAAGCCACGGCCACACGCGGGACACAGGTAGGGCCGCTCGCCCGTGTGGTTGCGCCGGTGGCGCGTCAGGTTGGGCTTCTGGCTGAAGCGACGGCCGCACTCCGGGCACGGGTAGGGCCGCTCGCCCGTGTGGATGCGCTGGTGGATGGTGAGCGCCGACCACCACGAGAAGCTCTTGCCGCACTCGTTGCAGATGAACTGGCGAGGCTCTCCAGGCGCGCTCAGGCCCGCCCGCGCCCGGCCCCACAGCACGCCCCCCGGACCGCGGGCCGGCTGGGAGTCGCGCGATGGCTGCGGCGGCGCCGACAGGCCCGAGGGCGCTTCGGCCGGCGGCTTGGAGCGCGGCGCCGCGTCCCGCAAGGCGGGCCCGGGGAGCGGCGGCTCGGCGGCGGGAGCGGCGTGTGCGCGCTGGTGGGCCCGCAGCGCGGCGCGGCTCGGGCAGGTCTGGCCGCAGCTGGGGCAGCGCGCCGCCTGGGCGCCGGGCAGGTGCGTGCGCTGGTGCTTGAGCAGGTGCTGCTTCTGGCGGAAGCTGCGGCCGCAGTGCGAGCAGGGGTGCGGCCGCTCGCCCGTGTGGTTGCGCAGGTGGCGCGTCAGGTTGGGCTTCTGGCTGAAGCGACGGCCGCACTCCGGGCACGGGTAGGGCCGCTCGCCCGTGTGGATGCGCTGGTGGATGTTCAGGGACGACCACCACGTGAAGCTCTTCCCGCACTCGTTGCAGATGAACTGGCGCTGCTCGCCCGGCCCCGCGGCGGCGGCGATCGCGGCCCGGGCCCCCGCCTGGCGCCACCAGCCCTGGCAGAGCCCCAGCCAGGCCCACTCGGGGCGGCCCCGCGGCGGCCCGGGTCGCAGGCGACAGCCCCGGCGGGCGGCGGCGTCCCGAAGCAACTCCTGCAGCCCCGCGCGAGCGCCCTGGCGGTCCCGGGCGTGCGCGCGCTGGTGGATGCGGAGGCCCACCTGGTGGCGGAAGCAGCGCGCGCACTCGGGGCACGAGTGGGTGGCGGGCCGCGAGTGGGTCTTCTGGTGCTTGAGCAGGTGCTGCTTCTGGCTAAAGCGCCTGGCACACTCGGGGCAGCAGAAGGGCCGCTCGCCCGTGTGGTGCCGCTGGTGGCGTGCCAGGTTGGGCTTCTGGCTGAAGCTCTTGCCGCACTTGCCGCACGGGTACGGCTTCTCCCCGGTGTGGGTGCGCTGGTGGATCTTCAGCGACGACCACCAGCTGAACCTCTTCCCGCAGTCCAGGCACACGAAGTGACCCTCGCCGGCAGAAAGAGCCCGGCCTGCCAGACCCCCGGCCTGCTCAGCGGGAGGGGCCCACCCAGTCTCCTCCTGTCCCCCCAAGGCCCGAGGCTTCCCCATGGTCTGGCATGGCGGGAGGCCCCGATGCTGCTGGCGGAAGATGTTTTCTTTATCCTTCTCGGAAAGCACGGCCTGCGGCCCCAGCGTCTGCAGCAACCACTCCGGCTTCTCCTGCTTGATCTTCATCACCGGCCCATCTGCCAGAGGCAAAGGGAGAAAGGAGGGGAGAGTCATTCACTGCACCCTTGGCTGGAGGGAAGGAAGTGCCAGGAATGAATGAATGAATGAATGAATGAGAAAATGCGGTGGGAGGAAAGGATGCGGAAGGGAGTGTAGGAGGACGCGAGGGGGCAGAAAGAGGAGAGTAGGGAAGGTAGAAAGGACAGAGAAAGGCTGCTTGGGATGTGCTGAAGGAAAAGTACCAGAAAGGAAGAGAAGCTGCTATTCCAAGGCCACACCCCCGCCCCACCTTCTCCACCAGGAGGCCCCGAGATGCAGGGAAGGTCTTCCCACCCAGGAACAAGCAGAAAACGGCCAAGCTTCAAAGCTTCTCATTCTTTTTCTAAAAGAATCCATGCGCCGGGAGCTTGGTGAGCGAGTGCACGGCCAGTGCCCCTATGGTGGGGTGACCACGCCCCATTTCGCCCGTGCTACTGTGGCAGCAGCCACCGGGCCCAGCGCCTCACCCTCCTCCACCTTGGCTGTTTGGCAACTCCACCTTTCTTCAACAAAACCACGAACAAGAAAGTAGGTCGGAAAGGTCCGAGCACCCGAGCACCCGAGCACCCAGAAGAGGTGCTGTTATGCCCTAACTAAGCCCCGCCCACTTCAGTCTCAGGAGCGCCCCCCACCCACTACCGCGAACCTACCTCTCAAAGCGAGCTTGGTTCTACCGGGGTGCTCTGTCCCCCTTTCTCACCGCCCCACACCGTGACGGGAGAGGCCTGCTACAGGCACAACAGACAGACTGTAGGATCTGTAGGAAGGTTAAAAGCCGCGGAAACTAACGGAGGAGTTAGAAGTCAAGACGACGGCTGCCCTAGATGCGGCGCTGTGGTTGGAAAGGAGGCCTCGGGGGATCTGGCAGTGTTTTCTTTGTTTTTGTTTTTTCAAGCAAGAGAGAGCCCAGCAGTGGAGGGCAGAGGGAGAGGTAGAGAATCTTACACAGGCTCCACAGAGCTGGACTCAGGGCTCGATGTCACCACTCTGAGATCAGGACCTGTGCGGCAATCAAGGATCAGAAGCTTAACCCAGAGCTACCCAGGGGCCCCATTGCTCCCCCTCTCGATCTGGGTGCTGGTTTCACGCACATGTTCTCTTTATGTGAATGTACAAAGCTTGTCACCTGTGCACTTCTCTGTGTTATACTTCAACAAAAAGTTTACATTTAGTAAAAAGTAGGTGAAATGAAACAGTTGGGAACAAAAGGAGAAACTTAATTCTGGTATTCAAAAGACAACAAAATAAACCCAAGGGAGGTAGGAAGAAGAAATTAATAGATAAACGTAGAGACTACAGGGTAAAGGAAACATAGAGATATAAAAAGGATTCTGAAAATCGTAAAATACTAATGCATAAATGTTGTGTGAATTTGAAAAATCTGTATAAAATGGATGACTCTGTGAGACCATATAAATTAACAAAACCAACTCAAGAAGGGGGGGGGGGGAGAAAAGTCCTAAAAGAGACAGAAAAGAAAGCTAACCTTCTACCTCGAAAATGGATAAGAAGCCCCTTAAGTATAAGAACAGCTTTTACAGGGGCGCCTGGGTGGCTCAGTGGGTTAAAGCCTTTGCCTTCGGCTCAGGTCATGATCCCAGGGTCCTGGGATGGAGCCCCACATGGGGCTCTCTGCCGGGAAGTCTGCTTCCCCCTCTCTCTCTGCCTGCCTCTCTGCCTACTTGTGATGTCTGTCTGTCAAATGAATAAATAAGATCTTTAAAAAAAAAAAAAGAAAAAAGAACAGTTTTTACTAAAACTTCAAGGGAAGCATTATCCCAAGCTTATAGTGACTGTGGGGGAGGAGGGGAACCCACAAGCTAGCATGATCCAGTGTCAACAAGACAAGGGCAGAGCAGGCAGGAAATTATAGGTTTAGCATTTGAAAGCAGACACCAAAAACAAACAAGCCAAAACATTGGCAAAGCAAGTTCAGCAGCATTAAAAGAACAACATATGACCTTGCTGGGCTCTTACCCAGGAAAGCAAAGATGGCTCAATATGTTCATGACATTGACTTTCTAAATAGGAAAAACCTGACACGATCTCAATCAATGTAAAAATGTTGTATGATCAAGTCCAACATCATTTCTGGCGGGGAGAGAAGGAAGAAGGGATGGAGGGAGGAAGAAGTAAGTTCTCAGAAACCAGGCCTATGAGGAAACTCTCTTGGGCCGACACAGAACCTATACTAGAAACCCCAGCAGATATTATAGCCCAAGCGCAAGGGATTAAAAGCCCATTCAGGTTAGGAACGAGGTGACGCTCATGGTCACTGCCACTCTTCAACACTGTCCTTGAGGAACTAGCCAAAGCATGGGGGAGAAAAGAAAAATATATATAAATATTGGGGGGGAAATAAAGTGTCATTTGCAGATAATTATTAACATAGAATGTGTAGGAGAATCTACTGAAAAAATATTAGAAATAAAATAGTTTTACGGGGTGCCTCGGTGGCTCAGTGGGTTAAGTGGGATTCTTGATTTCAGCTCACGTCATGACCTCAGGGTTCTGGGATCAAGCCCTGCATCAGGATCCACGCTCAGCAGGGAGTCTGCTTCAGGATTCTCCCTTTCCCACTGCCCTCCCCACCCCCTCAAAATAAATAAATAGATCTTAAAAAAAAAAAAAAAAGTTTCAGCAAGCTTGCCAGATAAAAAAAACATATAAAAACTCATAACTTTTTTTTTTAAATGGCAATAAAAACTATAAAAATAACTGGGAATAGACCTAACATACACACATAACTTATAGCAAGTAAACTATTAAACGTTATTGAAAGGATAAAGAAAATGTAACTAAAAGGGCAGCTACATCACATTCCCAGAGAAGGAAGGAAGCTCTTCACTCCAAAACAATGTTTAAATTCAGTGCAATATTAATTAAGTGAATTACAAAATTTCTGATGTGCATACACCATCCAGAAAATTCTAAAAATGAGAAAGGAAGAATTTGGTTTATACAACACTGCAAGTTAAAACACTACCACTACACACGTATGAGGATGGTCAAAATCCAGAACACTGCTGGCACTGGATGCTGGCGAGGATCCGGAGACCTGGGAACCGTCAGGAACCGTCAGCCGCCGCTGCTGGGGAAGCCGCAGGGGGGCAGCCCCTTTGGAAGACAGTTTGGCAGTTTCCAAAAAAAGAAACATACTCTTTCCATTCCATAAGAAATCACTCCCCTGGGTAATCTTGCCAAGAGGTCGAAAACTTCTGTCGACACAGAAACCTGCACACAGGTTTGTACGTGCGCGTGCTGGGGCATGAGCGATTTCCGACTTCTTGGAGAACAATTTGATGGTGCCTATTAAAATTATAAATGTATCGAAACTTCCACTTCCTCCACCCAACAGTTTCCCTCTGGGTGTTCATCCTAATCAAATCCTTACATAGGACCGCACAAGGAATGTCCACGAGTTTTTATTGCAGTGCTAGTTGTAATTAGCAAAAGTGGGAGGCCAGTCTGATTACCATCAGTAACAGTTCCACAAAATGATCTCTCCCTTCGAAAGAAGGAATAGTAGGTAGCAACTGAGAAAAATGCCAAAGAGCCATATATACGTGGATGTGAAGATTCCCAAAACATGTTAAAACAAACTAAAAAAGCCTGGAAAACAACGATCAGTCGTCTGACCCAATTTATGAAAAATAACACGCTGGCTCTCCACGTACAGACATAGGCGCACTCCAGACGACCCACACGGAAGCCTGGTGGTGGGCGCCCTGCAGACGATGGGGACAATAAAGGGCTAGATGGGAGAAGCCAAGGGGACCCCCACTTTATCTGCGTTGTTTGAATTTGTATGAGGATATTCAAATATTAGAAGTTTAAAATCTTAATATCTGCATTGTTCAAATTTTTTGAGAATATTCAAATATTAGAATTTTAAAATCTTCAAAATGTTTTAAGAAATAAAAAGAAAACCTCACTTAGAACCTGGCGGGTTCCGGGGCCAAAGAGCCCAGCAACACCTCCACAGCCTCACTGGCCATCACAAGGACACGGAAGAAGATGGGGTGGCTGCGGGGATGGGGTGGCAGGGTGGGGGCCCAGAAAGTACCTGTGAGGGGTCAGTTTTCCTCCCGGCAAAACTACCCCTGGGAGGCCTCCCCAGGTGCTTGGTTGTGAGAAATCACTTTAGCAGGAGTCATCAACTGAAGATCAAAGTGGTCATTCAAACTGCTCATTGGCAGGAATTGAATACCCAACTGTAATGAGTGTACTTGACTATCAGCGGGTTTTAGATGCCCTGAAATGTTGGCCAGAGAAAGTACTTAACCGGCTAGGTGTCCACACTAGCAGTCAGGTAGTGAACCCAGAATATACTCAGGTAAGCGGGGCATCGCTGTCCCCAAGTGACAGGCTCCCAATTATGTCCCAGAGCCCCACAAAAGTCACTGCCTTGCTCTGATTAAACCTGACCTTGATGTTCATCATGGTGGCTGATGGCTGGGAAGGCTCGCCGTCTCTAGCCAAAAAGATGGACCTGGCTGAAAGCCCAGAGAACATTCCTGTCCACTGCCATCAGGCCCAGAGCAGACACAAGTGACTGGGTTGTGTGTGTGTGGGCTCCTCTGACACGTGTGCACGGGGACTCCGGCCCTCAGGGATACCTTCCCTCGGGGCTCAGGTATTAACACAAGGAAAACAGACCTTGGCCTGCCTGCCGAAGGAGTCCTAAAACAAAGGTTCGGCTCCTCTGTCATCATAAAAAGGATAATTTTTTTAAAAATTCTAAATGGTGGGGCACCTGGGTGGCTCAGTAGGTTGAGCCTTTGCCTTTGGCTCAGGTCATGATCTCAGGGTCCTGGGATTGAGCCCTGCATTGGGCTCTCTGCTTAGCGCGGAGCCTGCTTCCCCCTCTCTCTCTGCCTGCCTCTCTGCCTACTTGTGATTTCTCTCTCTCTGTCAAATAAATAAATAAAATTTTTAAAAAAATTCTAAATGGTTCAGATAAAACACAAAGGTGCTCAATGGGGAGCTACTGCTCAATGGGGACAGTTTCTGGGGCGATGGAAATGTCCTGGAGATCATGGTGGTGCTTGCACAACCATGTGAAGGGACTTATACCACTGGCTCCTGCACTGAAACTTGGTTAAAATGGTCAATTTCACATTGTGTATATTTCACCACAATAAGAAAAAACACATAAAATAAGTAGAAATTGAAAGGGGCTTAAAAGAGGTAAGCTCATAATTATCTGAAAAATTTGGCCATCCAGAAAGAGTCCCTCCCTCCCTCTGTAAGGCTGGCTGGCAGCTGCTGGGAGCGGCGGAAGGCCCGGAGCTGGCAAGAACGTGGCTGCGACCCCAGGGGCGCCCAGCACCCCACTGTCTCCATCCTCTAGGGTCAAAGCCAGTGTTCTTCCACCTCTTCCCTAAGACCCCAGGGCAACTTAGAAGCTGCCAGAGGTGGGGAAGAGGGCCCTGGCTGACCCCATTTCTCATGCCTGAACCAGGAGCCTACTTGTGTTTCCCTGGGAAAAGGTTCCTTCTGCCAAAACGTCTGGAACCACCTGTCCTCGGTTTTACTGTAATTATGGTAACACCAGCCTCTCTTGCTCTCTCATACACACACCCTGGGGGTTCCCAGGCTTCAAACTGACATGGCAGTGGTGGGGAGCTGGCCTGGGAAGTGGGGTGACTATGCTCCCTGAAGTCTGTGTCAGGACCCGGCCCCCAGGCTGCGCGGTGTCCATGTCTTGCCCCGCCCCGCCGAGCTGGATGACTCATTCCTTTGTTACCCTACTGCCCAATGCTTGTCTCCATCTTGGGTTCGTTGTGGTGATTATCCTGGGAAGGCTGGGGCTCTGGGGTCCATGGGGCAAGGCCCCTGGAGGGGAGGGGAAGTAAAGAAACCAGAGTCACTGAGGCAAGGGGCAGCATTCCCAGGGACGGGCCCTGCCCCCCTATCCCAGGCCCAGAGCCTTTGGGCAGCAGGGTGCTGTGGGGGCCAGTGATGCTGGGGGCTGGGGGGCCTTGTGCCCAGAGCACAGGCCTGTCCACTCACAGCAGCACCTGCCTGGCAGTTTCCTCCCCACGGCCCATGAACTCGGAGTGACCCCAGCAAGCTTCCATGGACCAAACCGAAGGCACTTTCCTGATCAAAACCCAACAGGGACCGTCTTACCCAGAGGTCTGGTTTTCAGTTAGACCAGCATCACCGCCCACAGTTAGCAAACGCCTCCTCACCCTCCCGGCCTGGCTTTCTGCGCAGGTGTACACATATCCTCTGCCTAGCGAGGCCCCATGGCCTTTGGTCATTTTCTTAGCTCCCGAAGTCTGTCTTCTTTGCCTTCTTCGACACGACCTTCTACCTCCTAGTCCCGCTCTGCAATTCAGCAGCGCACAAGCTCCTAGTGAGGGCAGCACCTCACACTCAGGGGGAGGACAGGGGACAGGGCAGGGAAGACAGGCCTGGCAGAGGAGGCCGCAGCGGGATCCCACCTGTCCCTGCACTCCCTTACCTGTGCTCGCACCAGCCAGGCCACACTCCATCGGCGGAGGCCTCCCGGGCACCAGCGCTTGCCTTGCTATCTGTGGGGGAGAAGGGGGCAGAGGAAGGAGAGCTGGGCAGTGGGACAAGGACCAAATGTCCCCCCCACCCCCCGCCATCTCACAGAACATTTTCCCTCTTTATCAAGAGCTTCTCTGTCCCCGACCTTGGTTGAAAGTTTGGGGCTTTTGTAAACTTGCACACATACCTGCTAGGCAGGTCAAACCGGCATTATTCCCATTTTAGGAGGACGAAACTGAGGCTGGGGAGGGCCCCTGACATGCCTCGAGTCACAGAGGCAGCTGAATGCTGGCGCCCAGGAGGCCCCAGCTCTTCCAACTCCCAGACCACAGCCTCACGCCTGCGGGCTCAACATCAGCGGAGCGGGGGGGGGGGGGGGGGGGTGACAGATGCACCCCAGCTAAGCCTGGAGACCCGCCTGAGTGGTTGTGGAGATGCCCAGAAAGGCAGGGCTGGCCCTCCAAAATCACCGGCCCCTCTCCTTCAAGGTCCGCTCTGGTCCCTACTGCACGCAGGATCACACACAGGCCATCTGGGGAACCCAAGGAAGAGTTCATCCATCCGGGGCTCACCTTTTTTCCTTGTTTTAATGTTCAAGGTTTTGGACACGTCCTAACTGGCTCATTGTCGGGAACAGGTCAGCTGGGGGGGCCCAGGCTCTTCCCCAGATCCCTGCCTGGCCCTCGCCTTTCAGTCTCTGCCTCAACGCCACTTCCTCCGAGTGGCCCTTCCTGTCACAATCCTAACCCCACTTCGTCTTCCGCTGCAACGCTTTTCGCCACCTGACACAGTATGTACTTGTCTGCGTACCCCGTCATCTCACTGCTGAACGCCCCGGGCCTGGGAGACAGCCCCCGCCCCCGAGGGCGCTTCCAGTGGTGGTGTGTGGCCTGACCGCTTGGCCCGCTGACCTGAACTGGCATGGGGGGCAGGGGCATCATTTTCTGCACTTGGTGCCATGGGCTGCCTCTCCTGAGGTTGTTTCACACACCTGTACCCCCTCGTGCCCACACTCGCCAAGGCCCAAGTGAGGATGCGCGGCACGTGTTGCCCACAGCCCAGGTGCTCAGCTCCCCCTGCTGCTACCAAGGGGCTCCTCCAGGTCCCTCGGGGCTCTCTTCCCGGCCACCTCACAGAAAGCCGTCTGCTCTTGCTCTCCACCTCAGGCCCTCAGGAAACCCCATCTCAAGGGCATCCCCCCTCCCCTTTCCCAGGTCCCCTTCCAACAGCCACTGTGGTGGTGGGGGTATGTGTGTGTGCAGGGACCCACACCAGGAATCTAGGCCCTACCAAGATCAGGGCATCAGGGCAAATATGAATTTTAAAAAGAGAGAAATTGATTTCCCTGGGGAAAAGGGGAAAGCAACTCCGACCCTTTCTTTTAGAGCATTTACTTGAGAAAAGTTGTCATCGTGAATTTCTCTCTGCCCCTTTGAGAGAGGCATGGAAAGCTTTTCAAAAGCTACACAAGCCTCTTGCCAGCTTTACAACCTAGACCTCTGCCCAAGGCCTTGGGAGCTGCCTCCTTGAAATGTAAACACCAAGGGAGAGGGTGACCCACGGGGGGTGCCGACTTCCACGGGGCACCCGGCTCCAGGCTGCAGAGCCGTCTCCCGTCGTAAGCACAGGAGGCCGCACTGCTCCTTGGGAGAAAGGCAATTAGCAAACACAGGCGGCCACCCCGTGGCCAGGTGAGTTGAGGATGCACCCCGGGTGACAAATGGTGCCATCGGGGGAGTCCTCTTGCTTGAGGACGAGTTCCGCTCTATCTGGTGGCAGGCTGTCTCTGGTCTGCTGGGCTGTGTCACTGGGTCGGGGGGGCCGGTGGCAGGGGACCTCCTCCTGCTTTCCTAATCTCTTGTGCGCATTTCTATCTGCTTTCATACTTATTTGATTTAAAAAAAAAAACAAAACAAAAAACAAAAAACTTCTCTTTCTCTCCTCCTTTTGTGGGGAACTTTTCAGAGTTGGGAGATTTCGTTTTCAATTCTATTTCTGCACCAGGGGTCTGCTCTGCACCCCTACTGTGGTTTCTTACAGAGGCTAAAAGCTGCTTGTGGTGCAGAGAAAAAGCAGGCAGGGAGAAGAGGGGAGGGAAAGGCCCAGCAGGAGGGCCTTGATGCCACCTCTTCCCGCCAGGTTACTGTGTAGCCCACACCTTGGGGAGGCCTCTCTCCCACTGGAGATTCGATGTCCTAAAGAGGCTCAAAGGACTGGCAAAGGGGGAGGTCACCTTAATTCAGGAAAACTCAGAGGGTCCAGAGGCTGGGGCCACAGTTCAGGGTGAGGACAGAGGATAGGGCCTTGACCTTATTCACAAAACACCCACAAAACACAACAAGGGGCCTCATGAGCCCAATCAGATGGGTCCTACTTGATCCATTCTGTCTTCCCAGGGGTATTACGACCTATAAGTCAGCTCTGGTGGCAGGAAGGCTTCAGTTCCCGGTGAATAATTCACAGCGAGCTACAGAGCAGCTCCCTGTGTCCCTGGGCATTCTGTCCCCGCCACACCAGGGCTCAGGGGGGTCCCAGTCAGCACAGGAATGGGAACAGAGGGGAGGGGACCCCCATGGGCCCAAGGAGAAGAAGAAAGAAATGAGAGGGCAGGGGACAGGAGAGGCACAGAGGACAGGAATGGGGGGCAGGCCCCCATGTCTTGAGGGCACCTCCCACTGTGTGCTCAGATGGGATGCCTCTAGAAGACGGGCCAGCAGGTGTCCTACAGGTAAAAATCCCGAGAAAGCTGAACAGAGGGGTGTCTGCGTGTGGCCACGTGTCTGCAGGTCAGCCAGGCGACCCTTCCCTCTTCTGCCTCTGCCCCCTACGCTGCCCTGCAGGCCCCTTCTGGCTGCCACTCACCGCCCCCTCCCCGACCCATGGCTCCCCCGACTGGCCTGGCGTGCAGGCTGCCCCGCAAAATGCCCCCCTGCAGACACAGAAGGCAACAGGGCCACGCCAGCCCCTGCGGCGCCCACACTGAGTCTCGGAAGGCTGCCTGGCCTCTCGCCCCCGTCTCCAGCAACCCGGCCCAGCAAGTTCTACGGACGGTGGGACACACACAGGGGCTAGGTCTTGGGACAAGGCCCTGGTCACTTCCCCCTTCCCGGCACCTGGCTCTGGGCCTGGGCCTGCCCTCACGGGTGAGGCTGCAGTTGGGGTGGGAGCCCCCCTGAGAGAGGCTGGGGGCCGGGGGGGCAGCTGCCGACAAAACTCTCAGCGTGAACAAAGGGAGGACTGTGCCTGGCGGCAGGTGGTAAGGTCTGGGGCAGGGGAAGGTAACAAAGCGGCTTTGCTCCCAGCAGAATCCTGGGGGCAGGGAGGGGAGCGGACAGCAGCTGGGGCGAAGAGAAAAGCCACAGACAGGAGGGGCAGCACAGGGACGCGTTCACGTCTCCCCACACCCTCCCAACCACAGGCCCCTGGAACTTTTCCACCAGCTACGCACGACCTTCACAGAGCAGGCCGCAGGCGGGGCAGGGGAAGTGGATGACACCTCATGTGTCCTTTGTCACTGGTAGAGCGGGGACTGGCCCCATGCCCCCACCAGGAGCTGAGGCTGGGAGGGGTAGCGTCACCCCAAACCATGGCCCACAGGCCCAGCTCCCAGGCCCTCCTCAGCCACGAGCTCCCACCGGGCCCACACCCAGGTCCTCAATAGCCACCACTGCTCCCCTACACCAGCAGCCCCCCTACCCCCACAGGAAACCGCAGGCAGGGGGTCCTCTTCCCCAAGTGCTCCTTCCACGTCAAGCAGACCGCCTTTGCCACACCAGCGAGGCTGCCGTGCGTCCTGAATGGCCCACCTTTCCATTAGCCACAGCTTTCCCACCCCTCAGCTGGTCTGACCCCATCTTGTCCACAGCGCATGGCCCATCCCCTAGCCTCCCGCCCCCCACCCCCCATGCTCTAATCGCTCTAATCTGCCTGGCCCACTCCCCGCTTTCTTTCCTTGGGAGTTCCTGGTTCCCTGCAGGCAGGCCCTGCTTCCCATCTCCTTGCCCTGACCCACCGCGCTGGCTCACACAGGTCAGATGCCCAGGGACCCAGACTCGAGACTGTGGCTCAGGACAGCATTTGTAAGTGGGTGGCCCCACTCAGGCTTGACCCCAGTGGGGGGTGCTCTCAGAGTGCTCCCTCGGGGCCCAGGTTCTGCTGCTCCTAACCTCACTTACTGAGGGGCATGGGGGACAGCCCTGAGATCTTGATATTGATCTGGCCATGGAAAGAAGGGTGCTCGGCCAAGACCCCCATACAGACAGGGAGAGAGTCCCCAGCCGCTGAGCACCGCTGCGCACCAAACACTTAGCAGGCATCGCCCATTACCTCCTTCACAACCAATTATGGCTGAGGAACCACGGCTCCGAGAAGTTAAACCATTTGCCCAAGGTCACACAGCTGGTAAGAAAGAGAGCCAGAACCAAACTGGGGTCAACCTGGCCCCACGAGAGCTCCTTCTCAGGGAACATGTCGCCTCCTAGAAGAAAGTACGGGACTTACCAAACCTTAAACAACCCTTCCCTTGTTTTCGGGAGGCTGGCTTCTATACCCACACGTGATTATTCAAATTTACATAAGTCAACTTTTAAATTCAGATTCTCCATCACTCCTGGCAGCATTTCAAGCGCTCAACGGCCTCATGAAGCCCGAGCTCCCGCAAGGACAGCCGAGGACATTCCGAGGTTCCTGAAGCCCCACGGGACGGTGCTGAGCTAGACCGTGGGCTCCGGGCAGACAAGGGCCTGGCTCCGTTCACAACCACACCCGGCTTTTTTGCACTTCACAAATGCGGCATTTTTTTTACAAACTGAAGGTTTGTGGCCGGTCTGCGTGGAGCACGATTTTTCCCGACAGCCTTTGCTCACTTCCTGTCACTGTGTCACATTTTGGTAATTCTCACACTATTCCAAACTTTTTTGTTATTTACCATATTTGCTAGGGGGATCTGTGATCAGTGATTATGACCTGCAGAAAGGCCAGGTGATGGACAGCACATTCGGGCAATGAAGTATTTTTTAACGAAGGCACGTACATTGTCGGTGTAGACACACGGCTGTCGCACACGCAGCAGATACTGTATCATGTAACTAAAACTCACATGCATCGAGAAACCCAAAATCCACTTGATTCGCTTTAGCGCAGTATTTGCTTTCCTGCAGGGGTCTGGAAACAAACCTGCGCTATCTCCAAGGTGAATCTGTAGAATGAATGAATGAATGAGTGAGTGAGTGAGTGGAGGAGGGAAGAGAGGGTTCCTCTGGCCCCAGTCCCCGGTCACTGATGACAACATCTAGGGACAGGGGGATGGTGTTTTCCGCCGGGGAATCCAACTGCAGCCACGGTCAGTGGTGTTTCAGGTACAGTACGCAGGGATGGGCATCTGAGAAGAAACGGGTGTGAAAGCTAAATGCACAGACACATCCGGAAACAATCCTAGCTAACATCTAACACAGCTAAGGAAAGCAAGGTTCAGAGCCGCAAAAACACAGAGACGCTCCTACATAAGAGAAGAGCTGCAAAACTGTATGTAAAGTACAGAGAAGCTGAGACCTTCAGAAACCCACAGACCCACCTGCAGACACACAGACACCAGAGTGTGCAGGCACGAGCCACAGGAGCACGACACAAGTGGTGCGCCCGTGAACACGGGAACGTGCATCTGTGCGGGACTCTGCTATGCTCCCAGCTGCCCCCTGCTCCAAGAAAGGGAACTCAGGGAGCTGGAATCGAGGCAGTATGATGGGGGGACAGTCACCACCTGTTAGGTGCCCCAGTTGTTTCGGAATCTTCAGAGGCCCCCAGCACCTACACAGTCACCCCAAACTCTGCTCCCCGATGTGAGTGGGCCTGGCAGAAGGAAGAGGGTGTGTGTGGACTTTCCTGTTGGGACCATCTCAAGGCCACACACAGCTCCCTGTATAGGTCACTGGACCCTCAACAGCCCTGGGAGGCGGGGGTCTGGGCTACATGCATGTGCCTAACAGGGTAGGAGTGGAGGGGGCTGAGTGGACAGAGGTAAGGAAAGCAGGGCTGGAGGCGGGGGGCCCTGAGCGCCAGGCAGGGGGGCTGGACGCGAAGCTCTGGATGCTTCTGCTGGCCTAAGGCTCAACGTCTCAGCTTCACTGAGGGGAAGGAGGCAGTCTGTCCTCTGTCATGCACCTGAACATACCAGACCTCCAACCTTCCTCTCGTTGAGGACACACATACCAGTGGCTTTAAAATGTTATCAGAAACACAGTGCAGTTGCCACCGGGGCCCCAGGAGACCTGCTTCCCATCTCACATGGCCCCAGGGCCCACAGACAAACAGGCCCAGAGGCCCTAGCTCAGACCAGGGAAGTGTTGCTGCCACCACCTAGAGGCCCACCTTCTCCCCTCACCCAAGCACGGCATGCCCAAGGTCCTTCTGGGCCTCCCACAGGACTCCCCACCCCCTCCAGGGCCTCCACCCCATCTTCCTCTCCCCTCACCCACCCTGCTCCCCCAGTACGCCTCCGTCTTCTCCGGCTTCCCCCAGATGGCACCCAGCACTGGACCAGGGGTCCCGCGTACCTCCCACTACGGCCCTTCTTCCAAGCCCTGCTCCTTCTGCCTCTTCTGCTTCAGCACGTTTAGACCTCGGTCTCCCAAACACTGCGGCCCTCAGTCCTAGGACAGGGGTCAGAGGAGCGAGGGGAAAGGACAGGACATCATTCCACAGAAAGTCTTAAAATTATTATTTGGAAAATACTGACACATATTCCTTCGGATAGACCTGTGCTCTCAAGCACGCAGAGAAAACAGTGGGAAACATTCACAAAGTGCAAGGCGAATTACTTCTAGGTCACCCCCTCCCTGCCACCCACATTATAAGAACTGTACCTCAGGGTTGCCCTGGTAAGAACAGCCCAGTTCAATGACCTCAGGCTGCTTCCACGGGCATCACCTGGGAACCAGGTCCACCGACAGCGGGGCAGCTGCCTCATCCTATCATGCCTGCCCCACTCCCAGAGGTCCATGACGTAACCCCAGGCCCATCTCCGAGGCACCTCTTTCCAGCACTTCTGCCTCCACCCGTCCAACATTCACCCCTTTGCTAGGACTGCCCCATCTCCCCTCCCTACCCCTGTACCTGTCCCTCACCAGTGGCCTCCACATCCCCAGGCTCTGCTCCCCCATCTCCCTTTAGAGAAAAGAGCAGCACCCACATTCCTCGGCCCCAAGGTCCAAGACTCAAGAGCCCACCAGGGCCTGGGGACCCCTATGACCCGATCTGAAGGCAAGACATGAAACTAACTGCTGACAACACTCTGAACAGATGTCACTTTCTCATTCATAAACACTTTCCAAAGCCTTAGAGCTTAGAAAGTGTAAGGAGTGTCCTGCCCCCCAAACCCCCTGCTTGTCAGATGAGGAAAGCAAAGCCCAGAGGTGATCCCCCTTGCCTCATACAGAGTTAGACTGAGGTCTCCTTCTGCACACTCTGACCACACTCATCCCTCCCAGCCATCACTGCACTAGGAAATCTTAGATTCCTCAGCTTAACCCTCATGGGGGGCGAGGGGCAGGTGCATGGGGTTGGCCCACCAGCACCAAGTTCAGAACTTTGTCCTGGGTACCCCCTGCCTCTCCTGGGGGGACAGTGGTCTTCATCAGGCCTCTCAAATCCACCACCCCCTCTCACTACCCAGAGTACAACTGTCACAGCGCACACCTGGGTAAGGTTGTACCAGTGCTGTTTTTAATACCTCCAAGATCTCCCACTGCCCCCCCGCCCAGTTCAGGCCTCACTTCTTCTTGCCCATAGACTGTACCAGTTTTTATAGCTTATCTTGCCCCTCCGTAATCCATTCATCACCCAGAACTCAAAGCAATTTCCCCCAAATTACAATGAGGACATGTTACTACTTTGCTCAAAATACTTCCCAGTGGGTCCCCAGCACTTTCAGGTTCAGCTAGAAATTTCTTGGCAAGACCATTTAGAACCCGCCTCTGCTCGCTTCTCCGGCCTCCCAGCTCCCCATTGTCCCAACACGTGACTCTCTGACCTCGCAGCATCTTGGCTGGCCTGTGACCAGTCTTGGAATACTCTTGCCCAGCTCTTCTCCGCCCAGCCTAGATCAGGGACCGCTCTGAGCAGGAAGGCTTTTTTGGATATGCCAGGCTCAGTTAGGGGCCCTTCTCTGACCTGTGTACCCACCCAGCCTGATACCATGTACATGGGATAATAATAATTTATGTGTCTCCGCAGCAAGACCGTAAACATCTTAACATGGAGTATTTCTCTCTCCCCAACACCCAGCCCAAGGTCCCGTGTGTTGTAAACCATTAACAAAAATTTTAGTAAAGAAACACAATACAGAAATTTAAGTCCAAAACGGATTAGAAGCACAGAATCATGGAACCTTAGAGTTGAAGGGAGACTAATACCCTCTAATCTCTTCATTTTACAGATGAACCCAGGGACCCCAAAAACAACAGCTAACCGTGGAGCCTGGACGTGAGCCGGTCTCAAGCTCCTGGGCTCTGACCACACCCAGCCCCAGGTCTGACTGACCCCAACACACTCCAGGCTCCGCCCTGCCAAAGGACTGGAGGAGGCAGCATCTCTGTTAGCCTCCACCATTAGGAGGAGCCCCCAGCTCCTACCCCCACCCCCACTGAGGTCTTGACTCCTGTGCCCATTTTCCTGGAATGGACTTCCCCCAACACACGCACACGCACTTCCAATTTCTGTGTTGCTTCCCCCTTGTTCGCCCTTGAAATCTTCATGCCCCCTCAATGAATCATTTATTAAGCAGCTACTCTGTGTCACCGTGCGGGGAGCCCTGGGGTTCCTGCCCTCCAAAAGCTCGGTCTCTCCGACACAGCCGACACAGCCCCGAACACAGGGACAGCGCTTGGGCAGAACGCGCCCGAAGGGACCAGGGGTCAAGCCCTCCGCTAACCACCCCGTCCCTCCCGCTCTCACGGCCCCCCTCCTGCTCTCTGCCCGGGCCTGCAGCCCCCTCCCACGCACGACCCGGGCCCCTTTCCCCAAGGGCTGTGTGGGGGTCGGGAAAGTTCGGGGCCGCAGCGCCAGGAGCTCAGAGGACCCCCGAGACCCCCGAGGCCGCCGCCAGCCCGAGGGTGGGTGGAGGCAGCGCGGGAGGAGCGGGCCGGGCGCTGGCCCCACAGCACGGTCCGTCCCTCCGGACGCCCCTCCCGCCCGGATTCGGAGGGACTCGGAGGGAGGGGACGGGAATAAATACCTTGACTTTGTGGTTAAGGTTAACGGGAACTGCCACCCCGGGGCGACTTGGGCACTGAGCTCTCCAGCCCCGCCAGTCCCGGGACAGGCGGGGCGGGCACCTCCCCCTGATTGGCTAGCGGGCTTAGCCGTCCCCGAGGCCGTCCCGCGGTCTGATTGGCCGCGCCGCTCAGATGACCAGCTCCGCCCTATCGGAGAAGCCCGCGGGGCGGCCCCTTTGTTCTCCTGAGCCAATAGCCCTGGTGGGCGGGCTGACCCCGCCGCCCGCTGGGCCTCGCGGGGCCCCGAGCGGCGTTAACGCTTTGGCTGCTGACGCGCGAGTAGAGTCCAGGGCTCCGAGGGGCGGAGGAGCGAGGGCGAGGCGGCGTGCTGGTGACCCGACAGTGCCGCGGCACTCCGTACTTCCCCTCCGCCGCGCTCTCCCTCCGGCTCTGGCCCAGCGGACGCGCTCTCAGATGGATCCCGTCGTTCCGCAACTCTCCGTCCGATTCAGGACGCGCCCGCACCGCTCTTGGTGCCGGGATCCGGGAGGACAGGACGCACGAAGTCCGCTCTGGCGCTCACACTCGAGTGTGCATGTGACATGGTGGCACTTGGTACACCAAGTGTTAGGGTGAGAAGCTGTTGTACCGATCTCGCGCGACCCGAGAGAAATCGCCGTTCGCACCGCGCGCGGCGCCGGGCGCGTCGTGGGTGCCGGATAAACGATCCTGGGGTCTCTATGAGAGAGACACACCGAGACCTCGTTACACCCACCCCCTCGCTTTCTCGTCAGGAAACAACGGTCTGAAGAGGTCACGTTCCTGGGTGGAGTGTCCCAGCAGGGGACACTCCAGGGAGGGTCTTGACTGCTCCGGGAGACCTCCGGAAAAGAGAATTTTCTCTTCTACCCGCACTAATTGGAAGCAAATGTTCCTTTATGCCAACAAGGTTCCTCACACTGCTCCCTCCAGCCCGCTGGGTCAGCTCCCACTGGCAGGATTCTCTCTGGAGCTGCTGAGAAACTGCCTTTGGGACTGGGGGTTGATAAAGACAGAGCTGGCCTCTCTCTCCCTGAGACATCGACTGTGGAGCTGGTGGGCCTCGTTCTAGT